AAGGGTCCCAGGTTCGATTCCGGTCAAGGGCATGTACCTTGGTTGCAGGCACATCCCCAGTAGCAGGTGTGCAGGAGGCAGCCGTTTGATGTTTCTCTCTCATCGATGTTTCTAACTCTCTATCCTCCCTTCCTCTCTGAAAAAAAAAAAAAAAAATCAATAAAAAATATTTTTTAAAAAATAAAATTCCTCAAATTACATGTACAACTTTTAAAAAAATTCAACTAAAAGGTGTTTTGCTTTGTGTCTTTGCTCTTCAAACCCTCAGTTTCTTCTTATTTTATACTGTCTTAATGCTTTATTTAACATGAGAAGTAGACTGAGGTGGACTAGCAAGGAGCAGCCGTACACAGGGGTGGGCAAAGTAGGTTTACAGTTGTTAATGTCAAAAAATGTGTGGAAAATAATACAGTACTTAATAATATGAGAATAAATTATGTTCCATGTACTCACAACTGTAAACCTACTTTTTGCCCATCCCTGTTCATATATACATAGCTTTGCTTCTTACCAGGCACAAATCTATTAACAGCAATTTTCACATTTTTTTCCTTATTTAGGTATAATCTCAGAGTGGAAAAATAAAACCAAATCATAACATATGCTATGCTCTAATTAGATGTGGAAAAATTAAATGAGTAGTCGTAAAGATAGCCCCTAATAGGAGAAAAGCATATACATGTATTCTATCTACTAAATAAAAATTCAGCGCCTCCTTTTAGTGTTTGAAAGGATGAAATTGTGATCGTATGGCAATAAAATGTTCACAGGACAGTTCAGAATGCAGTTAGCGGAAATGTGGCCAATTATGGAACAGAATGCTGCTGAACTTGGTTTCTTAAGTGGCAACAACAAATCTATGTTCAGAGTAACAAATTTGTACATTCTCCTTCAAAGAACAGAGGAGGCAACAATTAATAAAGACAAGTGTTCAGATTTATTTGGAAATTCACAGTTTCTAACGGCACTACAGCTCCGTGGTTACACACTGAGCGTCGCCCTATACAGGGCCAGGCGCTGCAGTGTTTGGCTTCGCTCTGCCTCTGCTTCCCCTGAACCACTCTTCAGTGGGTTTCTGTGCAATCAGACCCTCTTGCTCTGAATGGCTAATGTACAATTAGTACAGACTGAGAAAAAATGTCAAACACCGAAGACACACTGTTAATCTAAAGCAGCAACTTAAACAAAAAAGGCTTTAAATAAGTCACATTACAAACAATACCCAGAAAGGTATTAGACAAGTTTAAACAGTTACTACAAAAAGTGCTCAATAAGTTATAACTTAAGTCTGACAACACAAAATGGTCAACTCTCTCCCTTTCAAAAAGAAAGTTTCCACTTTCACCCATTAATGTACAAATACATACAAATACAGTCTCTGCCAATTAAAGAAATACAAGGACAAAATGAAGACAGACACATGGACAGCACACATGTACACCTCTGCACATTTGTAGCCAATACAAAGCCAACACTGAGGACTAGCAATCCCTGTGACTTGACCAATTTTGACAGACTCGACAAACTCCCTGGCTGGTTCTGTGCACATCCCTGGGCAGGGACTGTGTCACCTGGGACCTGGACTCATGGAGAAACACTCACATTTTCTATTTGTAGTAAGGAATGTCTGCAGGACTGGTGCTTACTGTCAATGTTTAAAATGTAATGTAGCTACAGAAAACCTTTACCAGTGGTTACATATGTTTAAAAGGTGAATTTATAAAAAATTTATTTGCAAATACCAGTCATTTGTAAGAAAAGATCTTGTAGTTTTGTTTTCTTCATTGAGTTAATAACTACTGAAAACGAGTATGAATAAATTAAATGAAAACAACATTTAACAGTATCACCATTTACCTAAAAACAGACTTAAAAATTCCAGCGAGTGCTTGTTTCAGGTGAGTTTGCTAAACAGAAGTCTACTTGGCAAGTCTGCAGGCTCTTCACGCCTTCTGACCCACGTTACTGAGCTCCGGGAGCAGATCACTTTAAAGCCTTGTAGTGTTTGCAGCTTCAAAAAAAACTAACAAAGTTATCAAAGAAATCAAATGACAGGAAAAGTCCCCCTCCTCTTCCAGTGCATTATAAATAGACAAAAGGCACATAAATATGGAAGGTGCAAGAAATAGGGACAAAGCTACAGGAAGAGGTTCAGGCTTCCATTCCTACCCCACCCAGGGAACTGGGCTTCCAAACTACCAGTAATTAATCTGTGGAAAAACGTCGTTAGAAAATTTCCACCACTGTCCTTGTGGGAAGTCATCAGCCTTGCAGAACTGCAGTGCATTGACCAAGACTGACAGACACAATCCCACCTACTTTTAAAAGGCAGAAACCATCATTTCTGAATACTTTTCCCATTATGATTTCCTCCCTCCCCTCAACCCTTCAAATACCACAGACTGTTCTTTAAAGAACAACAACAGAAAGTCTCCAGTATGAAAAGTTCGATTATTCTAGATGTGTCCCGAGACTGCTGTCACACCAAACGTCCCCACGGTGAGCTCTTTGTTTCCTTTGATGATGTCATGCAGGCTCGGCAATGACCCTGACTTAGTCTGTATCAGAGTCTTTATCAACTTCCCTTGGTCTTGGACTTTGGAGCGCCTTCGTTTTAAAGCCCTCTTCTCAGTTTTTGTCTTTTGGGACTGTCCATTGCACAGACTTGTGCAAGCTGAAATGCCACAAAAATAAGACTCTTCTGACTGTGACGAAGTTTCCGAGCTCCCTTCCGAGGGAGGACCCTTGTAAGAAGAGTGATACACTTCTCCCACATGAGAAAAGTCTCTCTGGTTCGTGAAGGGCTTCCTTCCTTTTATGTCTCCATTGGCTACAGGGTGTGATGGGTCTGCTGGCTTTATGGTCTCAATTTTTTCTGTTTTGTACTTGCAGCGTTTCTTCTATAACACAAGTAAAAGAAGGGGTAGGAATTAGACCTCCAATAGTTAGCTACCTCATCAAACATCTAGAGAACTGAGCTAATGGAGGAGAAGTGCCACCTCCTGGTGAAAAGTAACAATGGTCTATTTTGTAAATACCTTCATTACCTTCCTACTTAGTAAATGCCACTCAGTAAAAGCTCTCACTGCCATCTCTGAATATAGATATGGGGATGCTAACTCACATCTGAATACCTATGATGCACCAGATATTATACTAGCTGCTTTCAGGTATGTCTTACTCACCAACCCTGACAGGTGAGGATTTTATCCCTGGTTTTGGGTCCCTGCCAACTCATAACATAGTAAGTGGCCAAGCTGTGACTGAATCCTAGGCTATCTGACTCTAAAGCCCACATTCTTTCACGTACAATCTCCTCTAATCAGATGAGCACAACTTACTTGGAGAGGCAAAATGGAAAAAGCCCAGGCTTTAGAAACAAAAAAGCCTAAGTCTATTCTGAGTTTTGCCACCTATTGGTCACAAAAGACAAAACCGCTTATAAAATGAGGTTGTGCCCTGGCCAGGTGGCTCAGTTGTTTGGAGTGTTATCCTGTACACCAAAATGTTGCAGGTTTGCTTCTCAGTCAGGCACATACCTAGGTTGCGGGTTCCATTCTCAGTCAGGGCTCATATGTGAGGCAACTGGTCGATGTTTCTCTCTTACATCAATGTTCCTCTCTCTCTGCCCCTTCCACTCTCTCTAAAGCAGAGGTTCTCAACCTTCCAAATGCCACGACCCTTTAATACAGTTCATGTTGTGGTGACCCCCAACCATAAAATTATTTTCGTTGCTACTTCATAACTGTAATTTTGCTACTGTTATGAACCATAATGTAAATATCTGATATGCAGGATATATTTTCATTGTTACAAATTGAACGTAATTAAAGCGTAGTGATTAATCACAAAACAATATGTAATTATATGTGTTTTCCGATGGTCTTAGGCGACCCCTGTGAAAGGGTGGTTCGACCCCCAAAGGGGTCACGACCCACAGGTTGAGAACCACTGCTCTAGAGTCAATTAAAAAAAGTATCCTCAGTTGAGGATTTAAAAAATAATAAATAAATAACATTAAAAATGAGGCTCTGTGCCTGACATGCACTGGCCCTCCATCCATGATTACCAGCCAGGAATCAGCGAGCTTTCACACATAATGATCTTAGGCTTTCAGGTCACACATTTGTCTCGGCATGTTCTTTTTTACTTTAAAACCTTTTAAAAACTGCTCCAGATTCATACGAAATATGCCACAGGCCAGCTATGGCTTACAGATAGTAGTCTGCTGACCCTTGTAAACATTGATTTATATCATTACCATGACTGGAAAGGAAGAGTAATTTAAGTACCACTTAAAGGTTATAATAAACCGTTCAAACCTATTTCTTCATCTACTACCACATAGCCAAACATGACACTTAAAAAGAAACAAAATATTACCTTTTTTTCTGGAGAGAACTTGAGGGGTTCTACAATGTACAAAGCATTTGGGTCTACTATAAATAAGAATAAAAAGTACATGTAAAGCATGTTAGGTTAAAATTAAACACAATAAAATACTATATTATCCCTTAGGGATTTTTCCTAAAAGAAACTTAACCATGTATTTATGCATTTTAAATTAGTAAATCAAGAGAAACAAGGCAGGAGCAAGGTGGGAGATGGTTCCATTCTTATTTTGTGCTTGGTCCCCTTCCCTCAGTCTTTACCAGCTGACTATCAGCCAATAGTTAGGCCCAGTCCTCCCCTCTTACCTGTTGAGAAAATAACATCACCAGTACGCTAATACGAACCCTACAGATCATCTTTTTTCCTAAAAGACTAACCTCTACACTGTGCCACAAATGTGAGTCAACACTGTGCAACAATCAGCTATGACCACGTATGAAAGTCAGAGGAACACAAACACAAAACCAGATCTAAGACTTTTTTCTAATTGTTTATTACTATGATTTACTATAATCAAAACTATGAACTCCAAAACCTAAAAACAGCCTGAACATGCAATATAAATGACCAAAGGGTAATGAGTGATCACTCTGGCATGGTGAGTAAATTAGAAATATTAGTTTTAGGTTTCTAAAATTTCATTACTTCAAGCACATTCAAGACAGCCCTATGCTACCCACGTGGACACGATAAACACATATACACAAGAGGGGCTATGAGACTTTAGTCCCTTTGAGACAATTAAGAGTAAAGGATCTGTGGTATGACAGAGGCAGAAATTTGTAACGAGAAAATTCACTAAGAAACTTCAGATGCCAGACATTTATTAATAACATGATTCAACCAATTATATTTTTACATTATGTCCTAGAAGTTTATTGAGAAAGTCATCAAATATATAAAAAAATCTAACCATTCCTCAAACAGTCATTTCTATCAGCTTACTAGTCTCACTCAAATTGTTTTTTCAAAAAACATTACGTCTAATTTTGGAGTGGGTGTTAGTGTTATTCAGAACAACCTCTCCAATGAAAGCAACTAAATATGATGGATTTTTTAATCAATAAAAGCATTCAAAAGCTGCCAAGATAAGGGAGCAATCCCCAGACCAAAATCAAAAGAAAAGTAGGAATCCAAAAAGTCAAGAAGATCACAAAAGTCATTTTTGTCCAGAGAGCATATGCCAATGCAAGAATATGCAGACTTGAGTTTTGGTGGCAGCATAAGGGAATACGTCAAAAATCAAACCCCAGGGCCCACTCAAAGCAGCAGTTTGTAACATCCCCTCTGACTCCCCAACGGTAAGCTGGGACTCCAAACGACTAGACCCTCAGGGAAAGAATGAACCCATAGAGTGACTGTCCAAATCCCCATCACCTGGCGGTCCAACAAGGCTCGAGCCATGTATGTAAAGTTTTCCTGAATGTAAAGCAAACACAAATTCTCCTACATATTAGCACTCAAACTGTCCCCATAAATAACTTTTCAAAGAGAAGGGTTAGCACATGGATAACCACGCACACAAACCTACAAAGCCCCTGAGCAAGAGTCTGCAAAGACAACTAATGAATAGATTTTTAAAATTAGAAGATATTAGAAAGATCAAACATAGACTATAAATAGTTACACTTATTATATATTTAAATAGAAAACCAAGTTTAAAAACATCTTCAAGAAACATAAAACAAAAGGACCTAGATGTTTAAAAAATACTAAAAGAACTCCTAGAAATGGAAAATAACTGATATTTAAAAGTCAATGGATGAATTTAATAGTGGACTATAAACAGGTACGGCCCGGAAAAGAGATCAGAAGAAATCATTCAAAATATAGCACACAAAAAAGAAAAAAGATGGGAGATAAGAGGAGTTTAGGAGACAAAGGGGATACAGAGGGAAGGACTAACACATTTAATGAAATAGAGATTCTAAAATAAGGCAGAGGTAGTATTGGTGAGGGGTAGGGAGAGGGGGGAGTAGCTAAGAATTTCCCAGTATGATAAAAAGATACCAATTCAGAGATTCAAAAAGCCCAACAAATTTAAAGAGGAGTTTAAAAAAGATATGCCTGTTTTCCCAGAAAATCCAAAATAACCTGGCATAAAGACAGACAAATAGACCAATAGAATTTTTTAAAAGCCCAGAAATAAACCCTCACACATATGGTCAAATAATCTTCAACAAAGGTGACAAGGCTACTCACCACGGAAAGGAAAGTCTCTTTAATAAATGGTGCTGAGAAAACTGGATATCTATATGCAAAAAACTGAAACTTACCTCACAACCTCCCTCCTTATTAACTCAAAATGGATGAAGACCTAAACATATGACCTAAAACTATGACATTTCTAAAAGAAAATGACACTGGACTTGGCAATAATTTAATGTTTTTATTGCTTTTTTTAGAGAGAGGAAGTGAGAGGGAGAGAGAGAAACATTAATTGGCTGCCTCCTGCAGTGACCTCTCGGTACATAGGATGACACTCAACCGAGCCACACTGGCAAGGGAGGCAATGATTTCTTGAATATATGACATCTAAAGTACAGGCAGCAAAACCAAAAATAGATAAAGGGACTATGTCAAACGTTAACACTTTTGTCTATCAGGAACACAATCAAAACAGATTCAAAAGTCAACTTAGACATGGCCAGCCAGCATGGCTCAGTGGTTGAGCATCGACCTATGAACCAGGAGGTCATGGTTTGATTCCCAGTCAGGGCACATGCCTGGGTTGCAGGCTTGATCCCAGTGTGGGACATGCAGGAGGCAATAAATGATTCTTTCTCATCATAGATGTTTCTATCTCTCTCTCCCTCTCCCTTCCTCTCTGCAATCAATAAAAATATTTTTTTAAAAAGAAAAATGTCTACTTATGGCCCTGGCCAGGTGGCTCAGTTGGTTGGACATTGATTCCTAGTCAGGCACATACTTAGGTTGTGGGTTCAATCCTCGGTGGGGGCAGGTATAGGAGAGGCCACTGATCAATGTTTCTCTCTTACATTGATGTTTCTCTCCCCCTCCCCTTCTTCTCTTTCTAAAAAAATCAATAAAAACATATCCTCAGGTGAGACATTAAAAAGGCAACCTAAGAAATGTGGGTATTTGCAAATCATATATCCGATAAGGGGTTAATATCCAGAATATATAAAGAACTCCAACAATTAAACAACAAAAAAATAACCCAATTTAAAAATGGGAAAAGGGTTTGAATATCATTTATAAATAGTCAACAGGCACATGAAAAGATGCTCATCATTACTCATCATCAGAGAAATGGAAATCTAACCACAGTGAGTTATACTACCTCATATCCATTTAGGACAGTTACTATAAAAACAAAACAAAACAAAACAAAACAGAAGACAAGTGTTGATGAGGATATGAAGAAAACTGAAACCACTACACAATGGTGGTAGGATTGTAAAATGGAAAACAATACAAAGATTCCTCAAAAAGTAGAACTACCATATGATCCAGCAATCCTACTTCTGGGTATATGTCCAGAAGAACTGAAAGCAAGGTCGTGAAGAGATCTTTGCACACTCAAATTCATACTGACAACATTCACAATAGCCAAGAGTGGAAACAACCCAAATGCCTAATAACAGATGAATAAACACTATGTGGCATATATGTATAATGGAAATATTATTCAGTCTTAAAAATTAAGGAAATCCTGTCACATGCTATGACATGAATGAACCTTGAAGACATTGTGCTAAGTGAAATAAGCCAGTCACAGAAAGACAACTACTATATGATCTCTCATACATGAGGTATCTAAAGTAGTTAGAAAACACAGTGGTGATTACCAGGGGCTGGATGAAGCGGGGAAAAGGGAGCTGTATAATGTATGTAGAATTTTAGATTCACAAAATGAAAAAGTTCTGGAGATATTTCAATTAAAAATTTCAGATGCAAACAGACGTATCGGCCAAAAGAAGAAACAAAGATATAAAAAAAGGAGGGAGGAGGGAGGAAGGAGGAAGGAGAAAGAAAGTTACTAGTCCTAAGTAAACACACATGTAATGGGTTAAGTCTGTAAACCTTTGTGGTAATAGCAAACCAATAAAGCTCAGGAATTATTACTTGAATAATATAATCAATTGAAATAGGCTGCTTGGTTACTAAATCCTAAAGAAAGAGAGAAGCCAATGATTAAGAAAGCACTGCTAACTGAAATACATCATTAGTTTGGTTATTTTAATATTGCTATAAGGATAACTCTCTTAGTAAGCACTAACTAAAGCATTACCTTTAAAAAGTACTAATATAGAAAAACAGCCACTCAGTACACATCTATTCATTGAAATTTAAGCATTCATTGAGTATTAGCCAATGAAAATGAAATGCTATTATAGACTCTGAGCTTTAAAAAAGAAAAAGACCAGATTTTTTTCAGAATTGCCTCATAGTCCTAAACTAGAGGCAAAAGGAGTCCTACCTGTACAGGAAGAGGAAGCAGATAAGCACAGGATGCTATGGGAGCACATTCAGGTTTTCCATATCTGATGAACTGTCTCAAACATCCCTTTCTAAAAAGAAATACTTCTAAACAGGAGCAAGTGCAAACAAAGCTACCAATGGCTCATTAAACTCAGCCCCTCCCACCCTCTGGGCTTTCAGGAACAGAGATAGATATAAAGTGTGAAAATGATAGGTGGCTTTTGACTATACCCATTATTTGTTGCAGATGGTCTCCAACACAACACTGATGTTATACTTATCCCATAAGTAAGCTAGATTCATGTTTACATATATATATGTACAAATTACGTATCCATAAATACCTACCTTCTTTGCCAGTTAACTGTAGGGACTTGGATCTGATGAGTGGAAATGAAGTTCTCCTTTTCAAATTCATATCATCATAGGAAGAGAAACATCTAACACATTAAGAAAAACCAACAGAGAACACAATGAGTACACTACATGTAATTTACTCTGTAGTTGGGGCTAGATGGAAGCTACTGACTGAGAGCTGTACATACCACATAAGAATAATCTCTAAGGTAATACTTGTTATTGCTAATACATGTAAAAAAAATGTAAGGATCATTCTCTAAGAAATGAACTCAATATCCATTTACCCAAAATTCTCAAAAATATAAAAAGAATAGTAAAAAAAAAAAAAAGAAATATAATACTGACATTACCTTTTAGGGCTTGGATACTGATTACTTTTAGGAAGTCTTGAACTGTAATCTCCATCAAATTGAGAGGAGTTTCTACAGCGCTGCATACAAAGCATCAATCCCAAGACCACACAAAGAACCAAAGAAGTGATGAGATAGCTCTGCCGATCTGAAACCTGAGATGAGAAGGGAGAATAGTAGTACTTTAAAAATCATACTAGGAAAATCATAGTGGGATTTAAAATTCAAATGACAAATCTAAACATTTTCTTAATTTGCTTCATAATCATAATGCAGGGTCTGCTCTTTGAAACGTACTGCCATGACAATGTTTTAATGTTTCTCCTTTTTTCCCCAATTCACTGAAATTTTCTAACCTATGGAAAAGTTTTGAAAGTAGTTCAATGAACATACTTGTGCCTTTCACCAATTGTTAACATTCTGTCACATTTGTTTCGTCTTTCCATTTGCACTATCTCCTCCTTGAGAAAAAAAATCGTGCTCTTACCTGGTCTTTCCCATCTTATAAAACTGAACCACCAATCGCCTAGTTATCTAAACCAAAAATCTGGGGATCATCAATTCCTTACCCCACACACCCAATCTTTCAGCAAGGCTTGTCTTTCTCCTCTTAAATACATCTTGAATTCAACAACTTCACACTCTTCTCCACATCTAAAATCTTAGTCCAAGCCGACACCCCCTCACCTGGCCACTGCCACAGCCTCCTAAGTTTCCTCCCTTTTCTGCTCTTGCTGTTCCCCAAGAGATAACTCTTCACAGAGTAATAAATGGGGACTTTCTCAAAGTCTTGTCAATGAGATGACCCATGGTCAGTTCTTTTCGTAATACTTGCCAATGACTTGCAATTATTAGAATAAAATTCAAATTTAAATTGCCTACAAAGGCCTACATGACTGGGCTCCTGCAATATCCTGAACTCACTTCTCTCATTCACTCAATCACACCAACTTTCTTTCTGCACTTAAACAAATCAGTTTCTAACCTAAGTTCTTTACTCTAGTTCGTCTAGTAACAGGTTTGTTCTGACCCCAACCTCTGTTTGACTGCTAACTCCTCTTGAGTGCTCAGTTCTAATGCTACTTCCTCAGATAAGCCTCCCAACATCGCTCTGGCTACAGCTGCAACCCTTATCACCACCACTCCCCACACCCACATCTCACCATTTTCTATGCCACTGTCCTCCCCATGTTTACTATAAGGCCAGGGACTATTCACTGCTGTGTGTCCCAACCTGGGACGGTAAAACTCATACCTCACATGTACTAGTTGCTCAATAAAAACTTACTAAATCAATGAAATGTTTCCTTTGTTAAGTAACTTGAGCCTTTTTGAACTGAAAATGAAGTGTGTGTTGCAACTATCAATGGTTTGCAAAAGGCCTAAAAGAATGGTTTTATAACTAACTGTATTTTAGGTAAGACCTAAACTATGAAAGCCATGTTTTCCAAAAGATTATGATAATTAATATATTTCCAAAACTTTAAAATGCCACATTCTTATTTTCTGAAAAGTTCTCTATAAATGACAATTTTGTTTGGTGAAAGTTCTTAGATACCATGTTCTTTTTTAAAAAATATATATTTTTATTAATTTCAGAGAGGAAGGGAGAGGGAGAGAGAGAGAAAAACATTAATGATGAGAACCATCGATTGACTGCCTCCCATATTTCCGCTACTGGGGATCGAGCCAGCAATCCAGGCATGTGCCCTGACCAGAATCGAACCCAGGACCCCTCAGTCCGCAGGCCAATGCTCTATCCACTGAGCCAAACCAGCTAATGCTAGATACCATGTTTTTAACACACCTGCTTTTATGACAACTTCTACATATGCACTGTCTTAAAATACAATAATTACCTCCCGTTTCAATTCTGCTACTGTTGCTGATAAGTTTGATACAAGCTGTGTCATGTTGGTCAGCTGGGCCTGCAGCAACTGGATGGATTCAGTTTGCCGCTGATCCTGTGACAAAAGAAGAAATAAGTATTAATTGCCGTTGCATTTCTCCTGTACATTAAGTTGCATTTCTCCTGTACATTAAGTACATCTCCTGTACTATAAGTTCATGTAAAATAATCTGGAAAAACTATTAAGTTCTTCAGTGGGAGGAAAGTATTAATAAGGAAAGCTCCTAATGAATAAATATTATAAACACTTTTTTAAAAAAATTAATTTAATTTAATTTTTTTCCATCAGCTTTTATCCCCCCATACCCTCTTCCACTTCCACTCAACCCTCCGCACCCCACTGCCCCCACCCCGGCAATCACACTGCACTTCTGCATATACTAGCACACAAATTTTAAAATGTATTATCAATAATGCTCAAGAAAATATTCCCTACAGGAAACGTTAATGCTAATAGCTACATAAACTTTCTAAAATGACATTAACAGGCTTAATCATAAGCTAACAGGGGGAAAAAGAAAAGCAAAATTACTTATCCTTCTTACCAGCCAGAGTCTACAAAATGGGAATTATTATAAAAAAGTAAATAAAGCATGAAGATGACTAACCTGCTCCTCTGCTATTCTTGAAGTATTCTGGAGTTTTATTATTGTTTTATTAAAAGCCTTTTGCATTTCTTCCATTTGTTTTCGGTACCTGTGGATTAAGAATTGATTTAAATTAGCTTTAATTTTTTATTTATTAATTCATTACTAGAAGCACACTTCTAATTTCTGAGACAAATCCATTTTTCTAAAAATGACTTACTGAGGTGTGTGCAATACAGGACCACTTTCATAGATAAAATAAGAGGTCACTAGAAGTGTCTGCTAACTTCAGCATCAAGTCTATATACCTCATGCTATATAAGAGTTATTAGCTGCATATATGGTCAGTTAATTTATGAGAAAGGAACCAAGAATATGCAATGGGGAAAGGACAGTATTTCTATAAATTGAGTTTGGAAAATCATACAGCCACATGCAAAAGACTAAAGTTGGACCACCATCATACACCATACACAAAAATTAACTCAAAATAAATTAAAAACTTGAATGTAAGACCTGAAACCATAAAACTCCTAGAAGAAAAGATAGGCAGTAAGCTCCCTGACATTGGTCTCCGCAATGTTTTTGTTTGACACCAAAACACAGGCAACGTAAGCAAAAATGAACAAGTAGGACTATATCAAACTAAAAAGCTTCTGTAAAGCTATTAATAGCTACATAAAGGAAACCCTCAACAAAATGAAAAGGCAACCTATGGAATGGGAGGAAATATTTGCAAATCATTTATCTGATAAGGGGTTAATATCCAAAATATATAAAGAACTCACATAACTCAATAGAAAAACAAACAAACAAACACACAAAACAAACAAACAAACCAAAAAGAACCCTGACAATCTGACTTAAAAATGGGCAGAGAATTTGAATAGACATTCTTCCAAAGAAGTCATACAGATGGCCACACATACATGAAAAGGTTTTCAATACCCCTAATCATCAGGGAAATACAAATCAAAAT